GCAATTAAAGTGTCCTTAAAGGTGTCCAAATTTCTCTTGGATGCATCCGAGTTTGTTTATTGCTTTCGAGTTTCTCAGGCAACATTCAATTCAATCCAATCTTTTTCTCCGAAACATCCCAAATTGGAATGCACCAGTATTCGTTACCAATATGAAGCCCTTTGTCTGTAGGTGTATTTTTTCTCATGAGTGACACTTAGTTTTCTTTGTAATCTAAAATAGTTTAATTTTTCTCATATAGAATGCTCCAATCGATGAATGCGTATTCGATGTACATAGAGCCAGAGCACAGGCAGATTTTTTACGTGACGGCTCCAGAGTTCCTTCATCGAATGAGTCGCTTGGGTTTGAGTCTAGTTGAGAACACAGAGGAGGAAGAGGCATTACTCACCTCTCTTCCTCGTTGTGATCATTCTGCTGGATTTCGTCGCGATCCTTCCTCCTGTTCATTCCCTCCCGGCACTCTGGAAGAGATGAGTTTTGATTCATCATGTAGAGTCACTTCTGTGAGTCTTTATTGGTTGTGATATGAGGCCTGCTATTTTCCCTCTCCTTTGCATTTGAGAGACATAAACTCGTAATTCTACGTAGCTGTGTGTGCAGCAAACGACTAAGTTATCGTTAATCTAAAGATATGTGTCAATCGGTCTAATCGAATCATTGTAATGACCGAAAGCCTTCATATTTTTAAAAATTTATAATGCTTCTTGATAGGCCCACCGTACCGATAGTACATCGACAGACAGGGCCAATGTAATCTCCCAGTTCACGAATGGAGAACGCATTGAGGAAAGTGAATTTTAATAGTCTGATATGGTTGAGCTCATTAAATTACCCTATCGAGATACCATTTCGTATTATGGAGATTTTATCAAGTATACTACCATCATTATCTTATTCTCTCCCATAATGCCAAGGGAAAATTCTGAGAGTTCTTTGTTTCCTCCATGGTTTGAGGCAATAAATTTCTTAATTCATTTTAGAGTGTGTTCACAGCACTTGGTTTGAGTAGGTGAAAGGTAACTTGAATTAGATTTTGCAGGAAATTTGCATTCTGTCACTCCTATTATTGATTGGAATTAACTCGTGTGGTTGGTCATCCATGCCGGTGGACGTGTTGACGTAACAATGCGCTTAATTTGGTGGTGGG